TACTGCTGTGTAGTAAAGTGAACTACTACACCTCCACCCCGTATATATTTGCAATAGTCAATCACTGTACCGGGTGATCTTGTTACTTGGTTGTATTGTACCAAGAAGGCTACAATCCTGTAACAATGGGTACCAGGATTTGAGTGAACTTTACAAGGGTAATAGTGGTTTAAGGGGTAACCCTGACTGCAAATGTTGGCCCTGGTCATAACGTCAAACCAGGTTAGCAGTAAAAAAGAATACAGCTCGCTCTGGTAGGTTTACCTCGAGGATAAAAATAGTCTAAGGATTATAGTCCTATGATCAAATGTGAATAGATCTGGGTCTATGATCTGGTGAAATTAAAGCAAATCCAGCGTTACCAACAATCGAGGGCGCAGTCAGATGATCTTATAACCTTTACATAATGCCGGATTACGTATTCATTGATTGTTAATTACAAATATACAATACTGTAGTTTATTACTACTTTACTATTCTATCGTTATTAATAATAAAGAATTATTTACAATAACAAAAAAAATGGAAAATAAAGGTTCTTTACAAGTTTGTACAAGGTGCCATTGTTCTCAACCCCCTGAAGATTTTATTGTCGGTGAAAATGATATTCGAGCTTGTTGTGTAGCCTGTTGTACTAACACTTTACAAACTAAAAAGCGAAAGTGACAAGAAACTAACAATTTCATTGATGAAAAAGAAAACATTATTAATTTTAACAATGTTACGGATTATATTTATGATACACTTCTAGAACATAAAAACCTGAATGATGATCTTGAAGGACAGGTCCATTTCAATCTTCAATTTGACGTTGATCTAAATTCTATTTACGAACATATTTCACCAGTAGAAGTCACTATAAAACATAATCCATATATTGATATTGCTAATTCGGTAATTAGTGCAATTAATAATGGAGATGGCTATACATATGTACTTCAAAATATTTACAATAGCAAACATTCAGAATTTACGAAGTTAATATACTGGTGTAATGCTTGAAACGAATTATGCAGATGTCAAAAAAAGGTTGAAGATATTTCAAAGCAACGTAATGTTGAAGCACATATTAAAAGTATGAATGCAAAGGTCTAATCACGATTAAAATTTATTCAAAAGACATTGTGACCATTAATATATCGCACAAGATTTTACATTCACGGTTAGAAAAAATCAACATAACAGAAGAGATTAAACAACACATAAGCTCCTGTATTAGACAAGATGTACCAAGTATTTATCAGTCAATTAAAGACAAATACATAAACGGGTATGAGCTTTTAACGATCAAACAAGTGTATTATTGGTGGGCGTCAATTGTACAAGCTGAATACCGATATTCTGATAATGAACTTGTTTCTGCCAAAATCCTTCTTCAAAAACAAAAGCAGAAGATTCTTTTTTTTAAAGACTATGCCTTTGCTTTCTTAACTGTCTTCTTTGATATATTACCATTAAATGCATTAATGGAACTTATGGTAGATGCTACCTATAATACCAACAAACATAAATATGAGCTATATGTGGCTATGGCAATTGTAGATGGAGCAGGATTTTCTATTTCTTACTTATTTATTTCACTAGGCAAAAATCGTAACATTACTAATATTATTACAGAATGGTTTATAGCACTAAAAGTGCAGAATTTGACAAATATACGAATTTTTTATACTGACAAGGATCAATCTCAAATAAATGCAGCAAAGGCTACATGGTTTGATCTTAAGGTACAATTATGCTTATGGCACATTAATTGTGCAGTAGAACAAAAATTATCATCACGTGCTAAAGTTCAAGCAATACGGTATAATGCAACTGAAGCACACAAACATTGTGCAATTATTGACCCTTTATGGCAACCAGCTTTATCTGCACTTAGTGAAATGTATCAAAACAACTTAAAGACAGGTTTTCAGCTTGCTAATAAAGATGTTTGCATGCATATAAAAAACCTTATGAAAAAACATTTTAACCAGCACGTGTTAATTCCAAAAGAAGACATGACATTTGTGAGCGATCGACAAGTAATTTGGCTAGAGTGCGTTACTGAAATATATTAGTATTGTCGTAATAATGATCTAATTTTAGTATGGAGCTATCTCTGGTGTGAGTGGTATTCTCCAAATCAATGGATTCTTTGGTCATAATCTTCATTTGAGGAAATTGGCATTCTGCGCACAACAATGGTGATTGAGTCACACTGGAGATTTCTAAAGAGAGATCATCTTTATAGGTTTAATTGTCCTCGTCTGGACCTTTTATGCTTTATAATAATTAAAAAGGTATATATTTTTACATATATACATGTATTATTGGTTAAGTTATAAAATTACTTGCTACATTAATATTAGGTTATTGGTCGACAAGTCGATACATTTAAACTACTATGCTATGGACGTCAACTTACTTCATGGTGAAAAGAATTTCAAAAAGAGTGGAATTTGTTAGCATCACGGTCTTGCGACTCCAATAAATATTTAACAAATCCTGCACACTGGATTTGCTCCTGTCCTTATTTCGCAACTAATTGGTTTTTTTTATGTAAGCATTTGGTAATTCCAATTGGATCAAAGCCAAATACGTTTTTTTACAAAATATGTATTGGTATGAGTATTATCAAATAATGATTATTGTTATATAATTTAAACCTACTTTAATTAATAAATATTAAATTTAGATTCTTTGTAATTCAAGATATTCGCTAATTTCAGTATCTTCATGCAACCCTTGGCAAGAAATTCATTTGGCTTGCAATCTTGAAAAACTTGATAACAATAATCATCTGCTCAATAACGATAATAATGAACCTTCTACTATAAATACCGTACAAGAAATTTATGAAACAAATAATGATAACCTTATGAATGAGATTAAACAAAAGCATGCACGGATATATCAAGTTTTATCTGAGGTAAACTTTTATAATTTTATCTATGGAAATTGAATTAGATATTAGTTAACTAAATAACTTTATTTTTAATTTAGGCACAATGTATTCTTAATGAATCGAAGGCTTGTCATAATCGCTTAAAATTCCTTGAAAATATGGAATCCAAAGTAATGCCGGTTGAAAAATTGGTCAAAGATATTTTGCAACACGAAAAAAGACATTCACTGCCACAAACGTGGAAGGATAGCAATGAAAATACACAATATTATGGATAATTTGCCATGTAATTGTATAGTACCAATATACTTTATTGTGCAAAGATAAAGTTCTATTTTAATTAAAGCTTTATAAAAATACATTTTTTATTGAAAGTAAAATTGGTTTGTAATATTCGAATATACGTGCTCTTACTTGAAAAAAAATAAGTTTGTAAAATTCGTCGGTTTGGTCATGTGAGACGTCGGAAAGTCACCTGACTGCGCCCCCGATTGTTGGTAACGCTGGGACTTTTGTGAAATTAATACTAGGATTAGATCAGAGAGTTTAAATGGAACATCTAAACAGGGGTGTTAGGTACAGCAACTGATAGGAAACCCTCAGGCGGACTCCTTAAATAGGTAATATAAAAAAGTTACACGTGTAACCAGTTGTACACTCGTCTAATAGTTCATTATAGATACGTCTATATAAAACATGTACCCGCTATAAGCATTAATAAAAAGCTCGGACCAAAGAGGTCACCTTAATACCGAAAAAAAAAAGAAAAAAAAAAAAAAAAAAACCAACTATAAAATCACAATAAGCTAAATAACCTAAATTAAAATAGCAATTCATATATAAAATAGTTCATTTTTATAATTTTTTTGTTTGCTACATTGATTTTCACATAATGTTAGTTGTCATAAATGTTGCATATTTGAAACATATTAGTGTCAAAGATCATCATCACGTGATTATACCAATATTTTTTTTTGAATGCAATTGCAACAAAAATTAGATTCCATTTCAACGAGAAGTCATCACACTTGACAATGTATGTTATATGATAGGATTTTTATTTTATATGTAGTCAGCCTTCGCTATAATCACACCCTCGGACCGAAAAAAGATATAATTAAATTTTTATATTTTTATAATAAGTTGGGATCTAAAAATAATGTGCTTTTAGATAGGTTGTGATTATAGTCAGAGTGACTACGGTGAAGACTGACTGTATTCATGTGTTTCTAATATTCACTTTTTGTTTTAGCTTCCAAGACTTCATGATTCTTTTCTACAATTAAATCTTCTTCACCACTACTTGTTTTTACCATGCGAATACGAGCAATTTCATGATCCATTATAGATCCCTATAAATACCAAATTTTCAATTAATTTACAATCTAAAGGCACTATTTCTTAAAATCAAAGAGTTATTAACCTCTATTAAGCACATTGACAATGGATTAAGGATCTTCTTTTGAACCAATCGATTTAGTGGTCTAGAGCCTATTATTGAGTAGATGACTATGAGTACTAATTTGACATGCTTCATATAGAAATCCAAATTTAGATACCATAAGCTGGGTCATAGCCTTTATCCGCTAACCATGCTTTAGCATGTTCATCAACATCAACAGTGACATGTCTGTTTTCCAATCGTTGTTGAACCTCTCGAAGGCGAATATCCACTATATCTCGAAGTGCCATACGAGATAGACGATTGAAGACGATCTATTGAAGTTATTAATTATAACGAGATGGAAATTACATTCATTTATTGTCATTAATATAATTTATCTCTTACCATTTCATCGATACGATTAACGAATTCTGGCGCAAAATGTCTTCTCACGACATCAAGCACTGCGACTTTTGTCAAATCGCTTACTTTACCCTCTTCTGCAATATCTGATGCGACTAAGATATCAGCACCAAGATTACTTGTCATGATTATGATTGTATTACGAAAATCAATCTAATTATTGGATTACATAATTATAACACTGTAAATATAAATTAATGATTCACAGATAATGGTGTTAGTAATGCTTAAAAATATTTTTATTACCTTTCGACCTTGCGAGTCAGTGACGTGCCCATCATCCAAGATCTGTAATAACAAGTTGGATACGTCTATTTATTCATACATTATAAAATTTCAGAACTTAGTAGCAACTAATTAGCTAATTTATATAATGAAATGAATTATTGATTTACCTCTATGAGCCTTTTCCATTTCATCTAAGAGAACGACTGAAAACGGCTTACGTCGAACTGCTTCTGTAAGCTCCCCTCCTATTAAATATTCACAATATTGAGTAAGAATCCTACTACAAATGAGGTTAACTTGTTTCTATTTTCAATATGTCAGTAATATATACCTTCTTCATATCCAACATAACCAGGTGGTGCACCAACCAAACGGGACACCGCAAACCTAAGTATAAATGTATAGCTATCAATACCCGCATTTTTATTTTCTGTATTTTAAAGTGGATTAAGCATATTTACTTCTCCATATATTCACTCATATCTACACGAATGATAGATGATTCTGTATCAAACAAAAACTCTGCGATAGCTTTACAAAGCTCGGTCTTTCCTACCCCTGTAGGGCCGAGGAACAAAAATGAAGCAATTGGTCGCGATGGACTTTGCAATCCAGCACGACTCAGTCTGACAGCTTCTGATACAGCTCGAATAGCCTCATCTTGTCCTACAACGCGTCGCGAAAGATTTTCTTCCATATGTAATAATTTATCCCTTTCACTTCGAAGTAAGTTATGAATTGGAATGCCAGTCATCCGAGAAACAATGACACCAATATCATCTGAAATGACTCTTTCATGGATAAGTGATTCTGGTCCTTCTTCCTCAACATCATGAGGAAGCTTTTTCTCTAATTCTGGGATAATTCCGTAGCGAAGTTCGCTTGCTCGAGTAAAATTACCTTGCCTTTGGGCTGATTCTAACTCAATTTTAGCTTGCTCCAATTGTGACTTAGTGTTTTTAATTTCTTTAAGTTTAGCTCGCTCTTCCTGCCAAATCATGCTGAGTCTATCTAACTCTTTTTGCTTCTGATCTAAATCTTTCTGCAATTTCGTTCGACGTTCCTGAGAAGCAAAGTCTGTTTCCTTCCTCAATGATTCTAATTCAATTCGTAGAGTTATTATTTGTCTATCAAGGTTGTCAATTGCTTCAGGTTTGCTTTCTTGCTGTAAACGAAGCTTTGAGCATGCTTCATCAACAAGATCTATAGCTTTGTCCGGAAGAAACCTATCCGTAATATATCGATGAGAATACGTAGCAGCAGCAACAAGTGCGGAGTCCGAAATCCGAACCCCGTGATGTATTTCATATTTTTCTTTAAGACCTCGTAAAATAGTTATTGTTTCTTCGACATTCGGTTCTACGATCATCACTGATTGAAATCTCCTGGCCAACGCAGGATCCTTTTCAATATATTTACGATATTCATCGATCGTTGTAGCACCACAGCATCTTAATATACCTTTGGCCAAAGCAGGTTTAAGCAAATTTCCAGCATCTATTGATCCTTCTGACCTTCCCAATCCAAGCAAATTATGCAATTCGTCAATGAACAAAATAAGCTTTCCTTCGGCTTCTTGAACTTCACGTAATACGGTCTTGAGTCGTTCTTCAAATTCTCCTCTATACTTTGAACCTGCAATAAGTGATCCTAGGTCTAAAGCTATCACCTTTTTATCTTTAATACTTTCGGGGACTTCGCCTTTAACAATTCTTTGAGCCAATCCCTCAGCAATTGCCGTTTTTCCAACACCAGCTTCACCAATTAGGACGGGATTATTTTTTGTACGTCGTGATAATCTGATAAATAACAAGAAAACCATTATAATTAAAATGAATGACTTAAATAAAATCTTAGATACTTACACTAGTTAGTAATTTAGTGTGAATCGTTTCGAAAAAAAGCATTTTGGTAAGTATTTCGATCTAAATTCATTATTACGACAATCATATCGAGAAACTAACCTTGTATAGTGCGCCTGATTTCTTCCTCACGTCCGATCACAGGATCAAGCTTTCCTTCCGCTGCAAGTTTAGTCAGGTCGTAGCCGAATTCTTCGAGTGAAAGATTTTTCGGTGACGCACTCTGCCCCGGATTAGTCCATATACCACCTAAAAATATTCTTTATCAATGTATATAATTTTTAGTAGTAAGGGCATGAAAGTTTGGCAGAACGAGTAATTACATACCCGATTTACCAGCATAAAACCTTAAATTCTGCACAAATAACGATGGATATCTTTTATAAGTATTCAAAGTTATAAAATTATGAAGATATATTTTATGATTTGGTGTAATAGTTTTTTTAAGCGGTGCAAGGTTTAAGACGAAACGTTCGCGAAATAACATCGCTACTAAAAATGTGAAGTACAAATATGATAATCTTTGATATGCTGATAAAACCAGATTAGTTTTGTGTGACAAAAGTGCGTCATTGTAATACGTACCGATATTTTTTTTTTTTTTTTTGAACATCGTACATTACATATGCTAGTATATTTTTTTTCTCTCTTTTTTTTTTCCTTAATCAATCCGTTAGTTAAAGATGGTGGTGGTACGTAATGAATAATATCCGAATTCGACTCAATTTACAACATTTCTTTTTTATACTATGATAAGGCTAAAGAAGACAACCCACAACAGCCCCGTAAGGTTGAGCCAGACGAAGTTCAAAGCCTTTCGACCAACAATAATATCACTCATCAGTCCAAATCAACTTACGATGAAAAAAATGATGAGTAAGTTCTATAATGATGTTATCATTTTCATTTATTAAATATTATTTTAATAATATACCATTGAATTCAATCATTAATAGGGAGCCTGTCGAAGTGGACGAGTTTGGTCGTATGTTACGCCGTAATGGTCGTCAGCGAAATGATGACTTAGATCATAGCGATCACAGCGATTATGAACGTCACAGATCTGAACATCGAAGATACAGTAGCGGCACTCGTTCTTCACGGTATCGACCTTCTGATGATTACTACGAGCCCCGATCAAGCAATTATCACTATAGGAAACTGCAATACGACAGCTATGTCCCAAGACGTTCAAGCTATTATAGACATTCAGATAGCGATCGAGAAGACTACTATCGCAGTGATGAAGATAGGTATAGAGATCGAAAACGTGTTAGAACATGGTCACGTAGATCATCGGATAGCGAAGACGATAATGATAGGAGGCCTAGCGGTCGAAGGCGTTCTCATTCTCGAGATAGAAGCATTGGCCCTGAGGGAAGGAAATGGTCACAATCTGGACAAGAAGATGTAAGTTTTATGTTTCTTGTTATATATCTATTTTTTTTTTTATTACTTAATCGGTGTGTATAATTTGTTAGCCATTTTCGACAGCAAGTAAATATATTGACACCGAATTCTATACCAGAAAGATATATGTTGGAGAACTTAGGGATGTTTCCGAACGTGCACTGCATAACGCTTTTGAGAGATTTGGTGACATTGAAAGTATTGATATGTTACCAGAAAAAGGGTGAATAGTAATTCTTTTACTGACATATTATTAATATATCATTACAATCATTGTTGAAAATACATTATGCTCTTTTATAGAATCGCATTTATTGATTTTGACACTGAAGAGAATGCCAATGAAGCTCGCCGCAGAATGAATAATACTCTACTCGGTTCTGGTTATGTACAAGGTGTATATAAATATTAAATATAATTGATTAAATTAAATAACGGTCATTGAAATCACTCATGATACTTAATCATTGCTCTTAGTGAATAGAGCTAAACGACCTGAACGAAATAAGAATGGTTTTGGCAATGTACCCTGGAGTGATGCAGGTTAGAAATTTATCAACTGCTTGCTTAAGCTTTTCAACCAATGATTACTGAATTCAAATCATCTTTATAGATGGTGCAGAGGCCAGACTAAATGAAACAAAGCCAATTACATATATGTTTAATACCACTTCCTCATTTTCAGCTCAAACAGGTAGTGAGTTTTAATTTTAAAATCTATTTTTTGCTTGTGTCTAATCATTATTCTAAATAGTATTGCCAGCTACACCTGCTCCTCCACCACAGGCTTTTGATCCACGATTACAAGGACATAAACGAAAAATAATAGCTTATGATGACCTTTAGGATTCTTATGATTATATGTAAAGGTTTGTGGCATCATGATAAACTGTAGAATGTATACATTTATGATAAAGGATTGAATTTGTTGGCAGTTATCCAAGATAGATTTAAGTTGAAGTAATATGTGTGTTGTGTTTTTTAACTTATAGATTGTTACTAAGTCACGATTGTTTTTATAGCATGATAAAAATAATAAATATTATAAACATTTAATGTATGACTAAAGAGTAATTATTTAAAGATTCAAAGTCAAAGTTGAAGTCTAAATTTGTTTAATGAAGGAAAAATTGAAATAGGTTATACACTAAAATTTCGTGAACATTTTTTTTTTGTTAGAGCACGAAAAGCGGTTTCATAGAATGATGAGCATTTGCACACTATTTCTGATCCTCATCTAATCTTGTAATTTTATTATCAACGGAGAAGATGCAGGTGCATTATTTTAAAAAAATATTTCTTTTTTATTTGATATATATTTAAGAATAAATATATTTTTATTTATTTATTTTTTGTTTAAGGTGATTTTTTGAGGTTTGGACTTTTGTTAGATTACAGAATAATGATTATATAGCAGTTAGCTATATATTTTTTCAATATTACTGGGTTATGTAATTTATTAGAACTAATTCAAGACCAATTTTTTTTAATATTTTTTAGATTTTGTTAAAGTTTATGGTTTATAACTGTTTAATATATTAGTTAAATTTTGTAGATTGTATTTTTGTTAATATTTTTATAGTTTAGGTTTGTTTTTTATAACTGTATTATATTTTAATTTAGTTAGTTATGCAAATATTAGTTATTTAAAATTTTGTAAGTTAATAATATATAGTATATACAATATATTTTTATAAATTATAATATATAAGAAAAAGTTAATAAAAAGAACTAACTAGTATATTATGCATTTTGTGCATTTTTTATAATAACTCAAAATTTTACTAAAATAATTTTTGTTGTATAAAGTAAAAATGGTTTTATCATAATTTTACTATATTCTAATTTTTATTTTAATATTAATTTTACTTATAATCTAATTTTAATTATTTTTAAATTTTTTATAATATTTTAAAATTTTACTACATGCTAACTTTAACTTTAACTCTAATTCTAACTTAAATTAGCCTAATTTTTATTATATATTTAATTTACTATAAGATGTATAAAGTATATAAATGCACTTTTTAGATTTTTTTTAATTAATTTTTTTATATTATATTGTTTAAAAATTCCTTGTTTTAAATTATTATATTTTTTTAAAAATAAGTTAACTATTGTAATAAGTTATCATTTTATTTTTGGTTTAAAAATTTTAAAAATTTTTTTATTTAAAAATAGGTATTTTATAATTAATAATTATTAATATATACATTAGAGTTTTTTAAATTCAAATCAAATATAAGATTGATTTGAATTTGGTTAAATCAAATATATCTTGATTTGATTTGATCAAATATTTGAATCAAATATTTGAATTTAATTTGTTTTTTAAAAAAATTTAAAATTTTGATCAATAAAAAAAAATCTAATTTATAAAAAATTTATTATATTAATCAATTTTAAGCTCTTAAGTAAAAGCGTTCATTTAAACAAAATACTCTTAGTTTTATAGAATAAAAAAGTTGATTGTATTAATAAAATTTCAAGTAAATAGTTTATAAATTTGTCAAATTAAATTAAATATTTGTCAAATTAAATTAAATTTGACTATATTTGAATTTTATTTGATTTGAAAATTTCAGATTTAAATTTGATTTAAACTCAAATATTTGATTATATCAAATTAAATTAAATAAAATTACAGAACTTTAATATATATAGTAAGGTTAAAATTTTATTAAATAAATTATTTTTAAATTTTTAAATAAAAAAATTAAAAAATATATATTAAATTTTTTTATAAATTAAAAATTTTTTTTTTTGATATTAAGATGAGGCCTTGCTAATATCTTTATTAATAATTTAAAATAGTTACATGTATATATACTATGATTAAAACCAACACTTGCAGTTAAGGCTAACTATTAAACTGCTAACTATATAGCTACTACTATTTGTATAAAATAAATAAATTAAAAATTACATATAAGAATAAAAACTCAGACTAATTTATCTATAACCTAAACCTACTAGAATGGTCAAAGTTTACCTAAATTTGAATATTTAGTATAAAATTTGATGGCATACTATATTTAATCCATAGAATAGACCAAATATTAATTTTGCGAATTGCTTGACCAATAGGAGAACATGTATTAAAATAAGTATGTAGTTGATCTGGAAGTCTGCAGAGGCATAAGTAAGTATAGTTTCTATGAAAACATATATATCTAGTTGCTGAGTTAAGTAATATTGAAGGTTTGTTGATTGGTTGGGATTGAGATCTATTTTGTTGTTTTTTTCAGTTTGAGAAATAAATACAATATGTTTTCCATAATTGTTCATATAATTGTTCATTAATATTAAGAAGAATATCAATAATAACTTGTGAGGCAGTTTTGTATGATATGTTAGAGTTTTGAACTGTTGATATGAATGACTTTGGAATAAGTTCTTTAAAAGTAAGATTAGAATAAAATATGTTAGATAAGGTGTATAAGAAGTTGAATAATGAAGGATTTTATGAATTAGATTATTTTTTTGATGAGTATCAAGATTAGGTAATTTAATAGAGATAATTTGATTGATAGATATTTGAATAATTTGGTTAAGCAAAAGTGTATTAATGCAAGTATGCCAATGAGAGTAAGAGTTAGCTAGATTATAGTGAAAGCAATTAGTATCTGAATATTGGTTTAGGTAAATAGTATGAAATAGTTAATATGTTGGTAACTCATTAAGAAGAGTTTTAATTTTAAAAGATTTTAGTTGGTTGAGTCTAGAGCCAAATGAATCTCTAGTTAATATCCTAATTGAAGTATAACCATTCACTATTACATTTTTGAAATGTCCATATAGTTAATATATAAGCTTTACATATTTGCTTAATAAAATAACTTGTAGGAAGTTCTACATAATGTTGCTTCTATTGAAGAATATAATAAGAATTATAAAGATTTGTATAATTAAATGAGAGAAGTGGTGATGATAGATGTTGTTTGGCAAAAGAGTTTGTTTGCTTATTAAAATTATTATCTAAGTGGGCTTGCACTTTGTGAAAAATAATTTGTAATTTGTGTGATTTAATAATATTAGAAAGAGTGTACTAAATAGGCCATGAACTGAATTTAAATA